GATAAAACCTGGTGGTTGTTCCACATAAACTTCTTCTTCAAGATATCCATTCAGGAATGCACTCTTGACATCCATCTGATAGACCTTGAAGTTGTTGGAAGCATCACAGGCTAGGAATATTCTGATGGCTTCTAATCTGGAAACTGGTGCAAAAGTCTCATCAAAATCAATTCATTCTTCTTGGCAGTATCCCTTAGCTACCAGCCTTGCTTTATTCCTTACAATGTTGCCATCTTCATCTGTTTTGTTCATGAATACACATTTGGTTCCAATGACGTTCTGGTGCTTTGGTCTAGGAACAAGTTCCCACACTTTGTTCCTCTCAAATTGAGTAAGCTCTTCTTTCATTCCATTGATCTAGTCTGAGTCTGCTAGAGCTTCTTCTACTGTCATAGGTTCCATCTGAGATATGTAACAGGTAAACATTGCTTCTCTTCTTGTTGAGGTAGATCTGGTCTGAACACCACTTCTGATTTGTCCGATCACTTGGTTAGGAGGATGATCTCTTAACCATGTCAGATCAGGTTCTGTCAGTTGTTGTCTTGGTTTCTCTGGTTGCTCATCATCTGAATCTTCATCTTCATTCAACAGAAGGGGGTTTGGTGTAGGTGTTGGAAACACTGGATTAACTGATACCGCTTCTGTTGACTCAGGTGTTATGTCAGCTAGGGTGACTTCCTTGAGGGTCTCTGTTATATCTTCAACATAGGTGCTATCATCAAATTTTACATGTATGGATTCTTCAACATGTAGAGTTCTTCTGTTGAGTACTCTATAGGCTTTGCTTGTGCTTGAGTAGCCTATGAATACACCTTCATCAACTTTCTTTTGAAATACTTTTAGAGAATGGGCTGGTGCTACTTGTACAAAAATCATGTATATGTTGCCTAGTAGATTGTGTATACAGTAGCTTCTAAACGAGCTGCCTGTGAATTGGGCTAAATATTATACAACAACAACAACATCCAAGCCTTAATCCCAAAAGAATTTGGGGTCGGCTAAGATGAATCGATCTATGATATTGATGCCAAAAAGAGAAGACTCACAAGAAAAGGAAAAAAAATAAGATAAAATGAATAAAATAAAGATAAATAAATATAAGATAACAATAACACAAGAATATAACAAAAATAAAAGATAAAAAATAAAAGAGCATAAAAAATCTAGAAGATAAAAATAACATAAGAATATAAAAAGATAAGGAAGATTAACGATAAAAGAAACAAGAGAGGAAAGGTAGACAAGATATCAATCGTCCACATGGATGTGCACCCTCCACTTTGCTCTCTCCAAAGCCATACTCTCATCCAACCCAAGAAGACGCATATCAGTTCTGATTACTCTAATCCAAGTCTGTTTGGGTCTTCCCCTCCCTCTCTTCTCTGACTCTTCTCCCCGCCCCTCAAGTCGTCTAACAGGTGCATCACTCGGTCTTCTATGCACATGCCCAAACCACCGCAAATGAAACTCCTGCATCTTATCTTCTATAGGTGCTACTCCCACCTTTTGTCTGATTACCTCATTCCTCAAGCGGTCTTTTCGGGTATGTCCACACATCTAGTGCAACATACGCATCTCTGTCACACTCATCTTTTGAATGTGGCATTTCTTCACCGCCCAACACTCTACGCCATACATTAATGTCAGCCTAATTGCTGTACGATAAAATTTACCTTTCAGACTAGTCGGCATACCTCGATCGCATAGAAATCCTGAAGCACTTTTCCATTTCATCCACCGAGCTCTGATTCTATGACATACATCTCCATCTAATTTACCATCCTTCTGAATTATGGAACCCAAGTAACGGAACATATCACACACCGGTATCTCCTTATCATCAAGAGTAATCCCACTGTTGCTACTGCTTCTACCTCCACCGAACTTGCACTCCATATACTCAGTCTTGCTTTGGCTCAGTCTGAAACCCTTGCTCTCCAATGTTTGTCGCCATACTTCCAACTTTGCTTTAACACCGGATTGTGTCTCATCAATCAATACAATATCGTCGGCAAACATCATGCACCACGGTATATCTTCATGAATTGACTTCGTAAGTTCATCCATGACTAAAGCAAATAAGAAAGGACTCAAAGCAGATCCTTGGTGCACTTCGATAGTAATAGGGAACTCCGCGGTCCTCCCTACACTAGTGCGGACACTTGTAGTACAAGCATCATACATATCCATGATGATGCTGATATACTTACGTGATATGCCTTTTCTAGTTAAGGCCCACCAAAGAACTTCTCGAGGTACCATATCATATGCCTTTTCTAAGTCAATGAACACCAAATGTAGATCCTTTTTAGTGTCTCTATACTTCTCCACAACTTGTCTAAGAAGGTGAATGGCCTCAGTTGTTGAGCGTCCAGGCATAAAACCAAATTGATTCTATGAAATTTTCACACTTTTACGAAGTCTTTGCTCAACCACTCGCTCCAAAGATTCATGGTGTGACTCATAAGCTTAATCCCTCGATAGTTAGCACATTCTTGTACATCACCCTTATTTTTAAATATGGGAATGAGAGTACTCTTCCGCCAACTCACTGGCATTTTGTTTTTCTCCAAATCATGTTGAAGAAACGTGTTAGCCATTTGATGTCTTTCTCTCCCAAACTTCTCCAAGCCTCGATCGGAATGTCATCTGGGCCCACTGCTTTCTTCCGGCCAATTTTTCTCATAGCCTCTTTAACTTCTGTTGTTTGAATCCTTCTCACGAAGTCCCTATTTACCATACACTCTAGTATAGTAAGATCATCAATACCTTGGACTTTATTCTCGTTGAACAAGGTATCAAAGTATGACCTCCACCTCTCTTTTATTTCTTCGTCGTCCATTAGTACCCTTTGATCGACATCCTTCACACACTTAACTTTTCCGATATCTTGAGTCCTAAGGTCACAAAGGCGAGCAAGTCTGTAGATATCTTTTTCTCCTTCCTTAGAATCCAACTTTACATACAATTCCTTATTCACTTTTCCTTTGGCTTCCTTCACAGCTTTCTTTGCTCTTATTCTAGCCTCTTTGTACTCCTCTATGTTCTCATCGCTCCAACTTTTGCACAATTTCTTATAGCATTCTCTTTTGGCCCTTATTGCTTGTTTCACCTCATCATTCCACCAAGATGTGTCCTTTTTTGGTGGCAAACATCCTTTAGATTCTCCGAGTATCTCCTTCGCCACTTTGTTAATGGTGGACTCCATTGATAACCACACATCATCCACGTGTGCGTCATTATCAATAGACCAAACATCTTCCTCCAACATTTTGTGTGCAAAACTTTGTTGGAGATTCCCCTCGAGCCTCCACCATTTTATCTTTGGCTCCCCTTGTACCTTAAACCGTCTCCTCTTTTTACCTTGAAAATCAAGCACAAGCATCCTATACTGAGTGACAACACTCTCACCTGGGATAACCTTACAATCAGTGTAGCTAGTTCTCCAAGTCATCCGTACTAAAAAGTAGTCAATTTGGGTACGATTAGCTCTACTTCTATAGGTGACAAGGTGAGAGTCTCTTTTCTTGAATCAAGTGTTCATCACAGCCAACTCATATGTCGAGGCAAAATCCAGAATTGGGCTAAATATTATAAGTGAGAAAATTTACATTAAAAAATTGAAAAACAAAGTTGTCATACACTTCAACCCACTAAACCCATAACTCCTTCGCAACTAATATATCTCAACCAATCACTTCTTTGTCCTTACTAATATGTGGGTTTATGATTGATAAATCATACAAGCTTCGTTTTGGTTTTGCATTGTCCTCACTGCGTGTGGGTGGATCCCAGGATGTATGTATGCCGTTTGTTGGGTCCATAAGAAATCGGGCGATCTTGATGGATAATATATTCTAAGCTTTCAGGGAAGTTTAAGTTCTCTGTCAACCGTCTCTAATTAACATTAAACTTCAAATTATACATTATTACATTCATAACATTCCAGCCTCTCACATAATATTACATAAGCTAAATGCACGACAAAAATTTTAATCAGTTTTAAAAGCTCAGAAAAGAACACTAAAATCGGTGCTAAAAAGTAAATGCACAACAAGGCAATCGATTAATTGTAACAAGATGCAACTATATCATGTACACACTGCCTAGTATTCTGTGTATACAACTTCTGAACGAGCTGTCTGTGAATTGGGCTAAATATTATGAGAAAATTTACATTAAAAAAATTGAAAAAAATAAGTTGTCATGCACTTCATCCCACTAAACCCATAGCTCCTTCCCACCTAGTATATCTCAATCAATCACTTCTTTGTCCTTGCAAATATGTGAGTTTATGATTGATAAATCTTGCAGTCTTCGTTTTGGTTTTGCATTGTCCTCACTGCCTATGGGTGGATCCCAAGATGTATCTATGCCATTTATTGGGTCCATGACAAATTGGACGATCTTGATGGATAATATATTCTAAGCTTTCGAGTAAGTTTTAGTTAGCTATCAACCGTCTCTAATTAATGTTAAAATTGTCATTATGCATTATTACATTCATAACATTCCAACCTCTCACACAATATTACATCACCTAAATGCACAACAAATTTTTTAATCAGTTTTAAATGCACAGAAAAGAACGCTGAAATCGGTGCTAAAAACTGATCGAACGCACAATAAGGGGACCGGTAAATTTTAACAAGATCCAACTATATTATGTAATAATCAAAATAAGTCAACTTTAAGTTACTTTTCTAACTGAATTAATTGAAGTTACTGTGGATGACCAATTTAACTACGATTTTTTCATTTTATTTATTTTATCATACAATATAGTTGAAATATGCTATGTATTTTTTTTGACAATTCAACACATTTAGTCAATTCAACCGTTTCAACTAGAACTTTCATCAGATCCATCCGATTCAATCAAGTTTAATGTCACCAAACAGGCTTATAGTATTGTATATAATATTGTAAACACCATCCAACCTAGGCTAGCATGAATATAGTTTCAGAGAAGTTAAGGTAGGTATCTTTTTTTTTAAATCAAAAAGGGAAATTTTATTGATAAAAGGGAAATAGTACAATGCGATAAAGGAAAAAAAAAGAAAAGCATTACAAAAAGGAAGAAACGCAGAAGTGACCAAGTCAAAAATAAGAAATAAAAACAAATAAATAACTAGTCCCATGGGAAGTCTCTGGATTGAGACTTTGTTCTCATGCTATGTCGCCTTTTATTCTTCTGGGTTTTTTGTAAATTTTCAGCTGCATGTTCAAATTGTCAGTTGGCAAATAATTTTCCGAGGTTACGAAATTGGCTTTCCGGCAAATTTTCTTATTGAATTTGGACTTCCTAATTTCTTCTGGGTACAAACTAGGAGGACGACGGTCACTTTCCGTCGCATGCCCCAAGAAATCATTTTTGAAGATGCAGTCATCCGAATGATCAAAATCGTCAGAGGCACATGAGTAAGCCTCGATCGGTGGCAACTGGGGTTGTTTTCCAGAAGAGAAGACATGTTCAACAACGGTACCGACTGTCTGGATTTGATGATGTAAAATCAACTTAAAGATGGTTGTGGGGTCCTCGGATTCTAACATGAGCCCATGTTGGAGAAAGATTGAATCATCTTGCACTGACTTTGAGAGCCCTCAAAATTAGAAAAAATATTAAGGAATTTAAATAGGCTCGAATTTTTGGGTTCCATAGGTATCTGAATGGATCCCCTTTTGTTTAGCCAATTTCACATAGTAGCCTGCTCTGTTACTTTCTACCGAAATCGTGATATCTCTGAATCGCCTTTTTTCCTCAAACTTTGACTGGCTAGGATTTCTAAGCTGATAGATGAACCCGATAATTTGGGGAACAAGCTCGAGTTTGAATTGAATCTTGTGCATAAAGGACTTTTTGAATTCAAAGAGGACCAAATCTCTCTTTTCCACTGCAAATTTAAAAGATTTTGATTCAATTTTAACGAGTCGAACCCATATTCTCCAAAGAAGTACGGAGTAGTATTTTTCCCCAACTTGGAATAAATCTGTCGATACCCCATTTACTTCCTTCGTGACCACTTCGGTAATGGTAGTTTGATTTTGAGATCCAAAGGGACCTGCCTGGTCAGACACTTGTATTATTTCTGTGTGGCCTGAAGTTGTGGGTTCAGGGCCATCTGTGACCTGTTGAACGCTGCTTTTGCCTTTGTCAGTAGAGTCCCAGAATAGCTCTGCCCATGTGAGGTGTTCCATCTGAGGGAGTCCCCACGACACCTCTAGTGACGACGACCGGCAATTCCATGTCACTGAGCGCAGCCTTGGTTGTAACAGGTGCAGCCTTTGACGCAGCAATTTCTTTGACCGTGAGTTCCCGTGTTCCATGAGTGCGGCGTTAGGCAGGTTGCTAGCCTCCGGAGAAGAGGTTGTCGGTCTTCGTTTGGATCCACCGTAGTCAGGGGCGTTTCTTAGTGATCGATTGTCGCATTTCGTTGATTTGGAGAGACGAACGTTTGGGATTCTTTTCACGGGTTCATCTTCTCTACTTTTCTGGTAATCGTTGGAGGGATGATTATCCAGTTCAACTGATTGCGATGAAAAATAAAATTTATCTTCTAGATCTAAGCTTTGATAGCGATTCGAGTTGCCATAAGCCCTGAGGTGTTGTGGGTTTGTGTGTCGGTGCTCAGTGGAGAAGTGGCTAGGACGAGCGTTGCTGCGCCGTTTTTTGTAGCTAACGATGCGCCAGCCGTCTGTTTGTGGCTGAGCATCTTCTCGCCCAACTAGATAGGGACACCCTGCCTCAGAGTATTTTGCCTTGGTCGTTTTTGATTTGTTGTTATACCTGTAATTTTGAAAGTTAGCTGCAAAATGGGTTGTGTGGTCTCCCTGTTCGCTGTCCCTGGGGTGAGGTCCTTCCAACCAGTGACTGCAATTCTTGCAGCGCCAGGGGTGTGAATTAGAATATATATATAAATGATGTTGAAAAAATTGGGAGTATTTCAAATGAATAAAATATATAAAATTATTATCTCTATTATCTAATAATTAATCAATTTTATATTTTCATATATTCCATACAAAGTTAATAAATGGTTGATTATTGAGCTCTCAAAGTAATAACGTTATAATAGTTTTGGACTTAAAATTAGTATTATTAAATAATATAAGTACTCCTAACGGTTGTAATAGTTAGTGAGACTTGAAGGAGTTTTCAACATTAACTTATCCTATTTATTTTTTGAATGTTAACACTCTAACGTACGAGCATGCAACAACGTTCATGCTAGTGTTTGTATATATATATAAGTTTGCATGGAGCTGGAAAGATGGTGAGAAATATACAAGCTAAAAATTCCCTCACACAACATTTCTCTGCTGGATTAATTTCTTATTTACTCTCGTTGTTCTGTTACCGGCTTACGTCGAAGAGCTCGTTTAATCTTGGGGAAAGGTTTTCGCTAGTCGGAAATAATTTCTTGAGGACAACGTTCACGCGACTCGAGCTATATATTTTCTAACTCTTTTTGCAGGTTTATCCGACCAATACCTCCATCAATCTCAAGAAAGTATTTCGCGTCGGATACTCCTGCACACATGATCTCACAAGGTGTCGCCGTCGCACTCATCGCGACTATGTTATTTTTGCATGTGTGGTGCGATTTAGATTGGTATTTGCATATATCTCCACATATAATGCTTACTATCTTTATTTTCCTACTTACAATAAGCCATACTTTAACACCAATTTTTAAGAAAAATGTTATTCTTTTATTTAGTGGTAAAATGACAACTATGGAAAACAACAACCCACTCAAACCAAGTTTAAACTTGGTTTGTAGTGATGATAATATTATTGCGGTTGTTTCTCAAAGTTGTGAAACTAATGATGTGAATGAGTGGGTGGTAGACTCCGGGGCTACCAAGCATATTTGTAAAAACAAAAATGCTTTTACCTCTTATACTATTATAGGAGATGGTGAAGAGCTCGTGTACCTAGCGGACTCTAAAACCGTTAAGGTGCATGGAAAAGGAAAAGTTCTTCTGAAGCTCACATCAGGGAAAACTTTATCACTAAATGATGTGCTGCATGTGCCCGAGATTCGGACTAATTTGGTTTCCGTTTCTCTCTTGGGAAAAGTTGGGGTTAAAGTTTCTTTTGGTTGTGACAATTTTGTTATGACAAAAAATGACGTTCTTGTAGGAAATGGCTATTGTAAGAATGGACTTTTTGTGCTTAGTATTTCTGAAATATTGCATGATAATGCTTCAGTTTATTTAATTGATTCTTACAATGTGTGGCATGCTAGACTAGGACATGCAAGTAATTCTTATATTAAAATGCTAAATGATTGTGGTTTGATTTCTAGCAAAACTAAAATGACACTAGAAAAATGTGATGTTTGTGTTCAATCTAAACTAACCAAAAAACCTTGTCCCTCCACATATAGGGAATCCGAATTGCTTAGTTTAATTCACACGGATTTAGGTGATTTAAAAACTACCATCACTAGAGGTGGCAAAAAATATTATGTCACCTTTATAGATGATTTTTCTAGATATACTAAAGTTTATCTGCTTAAAAATAAAGATGAGGCTTTTGATAAATTTTTAGTGTATAAATCCGAGGTAGAAAATCAATTAAATAAAAAGATTAAGAGAGTTAGATCGGATAGAGGGGGTGAATATATTTTATTTAATGAATTTTGTGAAAAAGAGGGGATAATTCATGAGGTCACTCCGCCATATTCACCCGAATCTAATGGAATAGCTGAAAGAAAAAATAGGACACTAAAAGAGATGATGAATGCTCTTTTAATTAGTTCCGGTGCACCTGATAATCTTTGGGGGAGGCTATTCTTTCTTCTTGTCATTTACAAAATAGGATTCCTCGTAAGCACAATAAGAAAACCCCTTATGAATTGTGGAAAGGTTTTGCACCTAATTTGAAATATTTGAAAGTGTGTGGGTGCTTAGCTAAGGTCTTATTGCCTGATCCTAAGAAGAGGAAAATTGGTTCTAAGACTTCTGATTGCATGTTTATTGGTTATGCTGAATCGAGTGCTGCCTATAGATTCCTTGTTTTGCAAAGTGATGTGCTTGAATGTGATACAATTGTTGAAACAAAAAATGCTGAATTTTTTGAAAATATGTTTCCTTTGAAACGTGAACACAAGACCATTGCACCATATAGTGAGTATGATCCATTACAAGGAAATGAAACCTTTAATGATGATTCCTCTAGTGATTGTGATCCTTTAAAAGAAAATGATACTTTTAATGATGAACCTTCTCTTTTGAGAAGAAGTACGAGACCAAGGATAGAAAAATCTTTTGGAAATGATTTTTATACATATCTTGTTAATGATGAGCCTTTAACTTATTCACAAGCTATTTCTTCAAAAGAAGCTCCATTTTGGCTTGAGGCCATACAAAACGAAATTGAGTCAATCAAACAAAATAAAACTTGGGTTTTAACCGATTTATCAAAAGGTTGTAATCCAATCGGATGCAAATGGATTTTTCAAAGGAAATTAAATCCGGATGGTTCAATTGATAAATATAAAGCGAGGCTTGTGGCGAAAGGTTTTTCTCAAAACCAAGATGTTGATTATTTTGATACATTTGCACCGGTAACGCGTATTTCTTCCATTCGAACTTTAATTGCCTTGGCTTCTATTCACAAACTTTTTGTCCATCAAATGGATGTTAAAACTGCGTTTTTAAATGGTGAGCTAGAGGAAGAAATTTATATGGTGCAACCGGAGGGTCATGTAATTATTGGTCAGGAACACAAAGTGTGTAAGTTGATCAAATCTTTATATTGTTTGAAACAAGCTCCAAAACAATGGAATGAAAAATTTGATGAAGTATTATTTGCTCATGGTTTTACCTCACTAGAAGTAGATAAGTGTGTATACACTAAATGTAAAAATGGTGTGTGCATTATTATTTGCTTATATGTGGATGATGTTAATTTTTAGTAGCAACCTTGAGCTAATAAATGAGACAAAATCCTTTCTTGCTTCAAAATTTGTTATGAAAGACTTGGGGGAAGCAAAAGTGATTTTGGGTATGAAAGTCATAAGGAAGGATGATGGTATTATACTGTCTCAAGAGCATTATGCTGAAAAACTTCTAAAGAGGTTTGGACATTTCGATGTCAGCCCCGTGAGCACCCCTTATGACTCTCATATACACTTGAAAAAACATAGAGGTGATCCCGAGGCTCAATACGAGTATTCCCAAATTATTGGAAGTCTATTACACTTGATGAATTATACGAGGCCCGATATAGCTTATGCTGTCGGAAGATTGAGTCGATATACTCATAATCCAAGTGGGGATCATTGGACCGCGTTGAGGCGGTTACTCGGATATTTGAGAGGTACCATTAATTATGGTATATTTTATAGTGGGTCACCTGCTGTACTAGAGGGATACAGCGATGCTAATTGGGTCTCTGACTCAGATGAGATAAAATCCAATACTGGATATATATTCACCCTTGGAGGTGGTGCCATTACATGGAAATCAACCAAACAAACTATAATTTCTAGATCCACTATGGAGTCCGAGCTTATTGCTTTGGAAGTGGCTAGTAGTGAAGCGGAGTGGTTGAAAAATTTCTTAGCAGAAATTCCGGTTGGTACAAAACCAACACCATCTGTGTCTATTCATTGTGATTGCAGAAGTGCAATAGATACTGCTGAGAAAATGTGTTATAATGGGAAGAATAGACACATTCGTTTAAGACATAAAGTCATTAAACGATTATTGAAGAATGGAATTGTGTCCATTAATTTTGTGAGGTCACAAGGAAATTTAGCGGATCCTTTGACAAAAGCCCTAGGACGAAAATTGATAACCGAAACATCTAAGGAAATGGGGCTTGTGTCACTTTGAAACAAATGGGGATGGGAACCAAACCTGTGTGATTGGAGATCCCATGAAGCAAGTTCAAATGGGTAATAACAAGTCTTCCATTTAGTTATGCTAGCCTAACTAAAATTGCCCATTTCCATGATGTGAGATATAGGCTGGAAACCGCATTCTTTGAGAGGCTGAGCTTAAAGCTCTTAATGATTATCATAGCCCTTAATTTTAGGGTGGTGTGCAAAAGCGGTACACACTTGATGATATCACCTATATGAGTGTGAGGTGGGACCGCCTCCATGAAGCATGACAAAACTTCTAGAGCACTCATGAAAACCAAGCACGCGCATGGCCTTACGGCGCACAACGGCGTAATAACGAGAAATTGTGCGGGGTGAGACATGACCGTTAAGACCCTGATTTACCAATAGTAGCTTGTTGGTTTCAAGAAACTATACGTTTCACCAAAAGTTCGGTTTATTAAGACTTAATCGTCTCGGTTGGGTTTCAAGTCTACGGACACCAAACTTAAAGTCTCATTCCTTTAATCCAGCAGAAAATTTTCTAAACTATTTTTAACATCTAAAATTATTCATTTGAAATATGTGGGGGATTGTTGAAAAAATTGGGAGTATTTCAAATGAATAAAATATATAAAATTATTATCTCTATTATTTAATAATTAATCAATTTTATATTTTCATATATTCCATACAAAGTTAATAAATGGTTGATTATTGAGCTCTCAAAGTAATAACTGATGGATAGTTTACCCGGGGGTATATATCCGAAGGGTTATTACGGGGAATAACTTAGAGAGAGGTCAGAGCAAGTAAATAAAAGTAGAGAGAGAGTGTATTCAGTATGAATGCCGTTTTCAGCGTGGTTACAAATGGGGAAATGGGGTGCTATTTATAGTAGCAATAAATGCCGGGCAGGGACACGTGTCAAGCGCTCATTGGCCGAGGGGTCACCTCAACTGGTTGGCGCTGGCAGCCGCATGTGGCCGCATTTAATGCGGCTGTTGGATGGGACGTCTGTGCGGGGTACGGTGATCTGTACGCATGTGAGGCGGATATCTTGTCGAGTGAGATGCCTTCGGCTATAGAGCAGTAGCCGAGGGCTCTTCCACCCGATGGCACCCTGGTGCCGAGGGCTCACAGTGCCGAGGG